TGTGGCCTGAGCTGACAGCGCTAGCTGCCGTCGCTACCGGTCCGTAGATTAACCACAACCGCCCGTCAGCATACGGCACACGGCACACAGGCAGCGAGGCCCGTGCCTAGGACCGATCGCTCGCGAGGGAACGTTCAGCGAGGCACGGCCTAACGCTGAATCAAACATGATCATGCGTTTTAACGCGTGCACAGTGCGTGCGCAGTGCTGGCATATTGCCTCCCGGTTGTGGGGCGGCTGTGACTAGCATGAGACAGTACTTCACCTCACAACAGTGCTTGGTAACATGCTCGCTAGATGCGCAGTGATGCGACCACAGATAGCAAGGGAGGCACACACACACAATCATAAACGCTGCGCTATATCCTGTCTTCGCATATACATGCCACACGCGCGACGCACGGTACGCGCACGACGCAGCGCGACGCACGGCCACGCACGGACGCACACACGTCACACAAACGTAGCGCAACGCGGAACGCGCAACAACAGGGAAAGGGAGAGATAAAGGGGAAAAAGAAATAGAGAGTGCGAGAGGCATCAGAGAGAAAAAGAATTGCGGTGTGGGCATACACATTAAATATGGTATTGCATATAGATATATAGTATATAAATTATATAGGATGTATATATAGTATATTCTGGTAACAGCTGTTAACATGGCGCGTACCGACAGGCAACGACCACCCAACCACTGCACACACCCGTAGATAACACAAGGTAAAGACTTAATTTCTAATGTCAATCCATGCTTTCCGATGACTGGGCAGCTGGAACGCAGCCAGAAAGTAATAGGATGTTAAATGCCATGTCCGGTTCCCCGCCTGGGCATGTGTAAACGAGCTCTCTCTCTCTCTCCCTCCTCCCTCCCTCGCCTCTCCCTCGCTCCGTAGCCGTCCTCCGCTCCCTCCCTGCTATCTATATATGTTTCCGTTGCTCCACCTCTGGTCCGTGCGGTGCGCGCAGGCCGCCTACTCTTCTACCAGATATTTATATATTATATAGATCCGTATATTATATATGGGGAAGGAGGGAAGGGGAGGGAGGGGGAGGGGAGGGGACGGGAGGGGAAGGGGATGGGTGGGATGGGACGGGCCGGATGGGATGTGATGAGAGAGGAGGGGAGGGGGGAGGCTGCTACTGTCGCCGCCGCCATTATTGCTGACTGCTGGCTGCTGCTTGCTTGTTGTTTGTGTTGGTTGTTGTGTTGTTGTTGCTGCTGCTTGTTGTTGTTGTTGTTGTTGTTGCTGGCTGTGCCATTGGTGGTGCTGTTATTTGCTGCTGCTGCTACCGTTGTTGTTGCTGCGCTGGGTGCTCTGCTGCTAGTTATTGTTGGCTGATGTTGCTGCTGCTGCTGCCCTGCTATTGCTGCTGGCTGCTACTGGCTCGTTGCTGTTTGACTGCTACTACTGCTGCCGGCAGCATGCCGTTGTTGACGCCTGGCACGCCGCGCGACTTGGCTGTGGCGGAGACGGTGCCGAAGACGGCTAAAATGTCAGGCGTGGCATCGATGTCGGCAAGCAGCAGCAGGCAGCAACAAACAGCCGGCTGCGGCCATGGTGAACTCCCCCGGCACCCGCGCCCAACCCTTAATCGCCCACGCTAACACCCGCAAAGAAACACACACAATGTCACGGAGAGATGAAACGGAGGGCACGAAGGAGGAGGAGGCCCGGAGGAGGGGAAAGCGGAGGGCACAAAGGAAGAGGAGGAGCAGAGGAAGGGGGAGAAGGAGGAGAAAGCGGGGGGGGGGATAAGGAGGAGAGAGAAGCAGGAGGAGGAAAAGGAGGAAGGAAAACTGGGGGAGGGGATAACAAGGAGGAGTGCGTTAGCGAGAGCTAGCGAGTGCGTTAGCGCGAAGAAAAGAAGGAGAGGTGGGCGAGCAAGTGGGAGAGAGACAGTGCCCAGAATGAGAAGAAGTGAGAGAGCGAAAGAGAAAAACGTGAGATAGATAGATGGATTAGCTGGATGGATGGATAGGCTGGATGATGGATGGATGGATGGAGTGGATGGATGGAATGGCTGGATGGGATGGCTGGAGTGATGGATGGAATGGATGTGATGGATGGATGGATGGATGGATGGATGGATGGATGGATGGATGGATGGATGGATGGATGGATGGATGGCATGGATGGATGGATGGATGGATGGATGGATGGATGGATGGACTGGATGGATGGATGCGATGGTGATTGATGATGGATGGATGGATGGATGATGGATGATGGATGGCGTGGATGGATGGATGGATAGATGATAGATAGATAGATAGATAGATAGATAGATAGATAGATAGATAGATGGATCATAGATGGAAGCTAAATAGATCAATAATATATAAAATGAGAGAAAGCGAGAGAGTGGAAGGGAAGAAGAGAACAAGAGAGAGGGGGGGGCACTGAACGACTGAAACACTCTCAGACTGCGCTGGCAGCTGTTGTGCAGACTGCTGCTGAGGCTGGCATAGTTTGTAGCTTATTCATCAGCTCCCAACAGGCCCACAGCTAGCGCCATTGATCTAGCTTTCCTCCGCACAACCCACGCACGCAGCCATGGCCTCGTACAGCCAGCAGATTCCGATGGATGCTGCTGCTGTATGCGGACACGCCAGACACGCAACGCACGGCACGTGCGCGGCACGCACGCACACACGCACGCACGCACGCACGCACACACGCACGACGCACGCACACAGCTGGGTGGGCCCGAACGGACGCACCAGCAGACGTAGCAGCGGCGCGCAATGGCTCGCACAGCCAGCAGATTCCGAGCTGCTGCTGCTGCTGTAGCGGACACGCCACGCAGCGCACGCACATGTACACGCACGGCACGCACCATTGGCTCGACTAGCCAGCGAGATTCCGATGAATGCTGCTGCGTACGGACACGGGCACAGCTCCGATTCGCCACGCCGACGCACTGCACGCAAGGCGCACGCATGCTTACCACGCACGCATCGCACGCAGCGCACGCATGGCTCGACAGCCAGCAGATTCCGGTGCGCTGCTACTGCGCTGCCATACGGAGCACGCACGCACGCAAGCGCACCGGACATGTACATGCAGCACGTACACGGCATGCAGCCACGCACGCACTGCACGGCTCGACAGCGTAGCAAGTTCCGATGCTGCTGCTGCTTGCTGCTGTAAGGAACCGCACGAACAGCTGCATAAGCCCAAGCACGCACGCGCACACAACACGCACGCACGCGCACACACACGCACGCTACACTGATTCACGAGCAGGTGTGCCAGGCCGCAGCAGCGCAACGCATTGCGAACGATTCGAACTACGAGATACGCGCTTATAGTAAATACGGGTCTATTCGTACGGCCTTCACGCCCAAGTCCAAACTAGGCCCGAAAGGGGGGGCGGCGAGAAGCGGATCCCAGACGGGGCTCCGTGCCCTGGGAACGACGACGCTGTCACCGCAAAGGACCAGGGGGTAGTGCCCGGCCCCCCCGTCATTGAGGGAGGCGTGACAAACAGCGGGGGTGGGGGGTATATGTAAACCGGGGCTGACAGCGGAGAGCCGTTATGGTAATATAAGCGCTGCGCCTCCCCTCTGCGCACACATCACGCACAAGCGCATGATAAACGCCGGGGAGATCTAAATCTGGGGTTCACGTGCGACCGCGCCCCAGGCATTGAGCGTTTCAATCAAATATAAGTAAAAATAAAATACGAAATCTATTTACGTACCAAAGTTCTTAATGTTTCTATACCTCTTCACCTATTATTGCCTACAATTTTGCCTGCAAATGCCGTCCAAATGCGGGCTGCCGCTGACACTGACACATAAATATATAGTTATGTATTGTCTGATATTATTTATGTGTCAGTGTGCAGCGGCAGCCATGGCGCCATTGGCGGCACCAGCGTTTGTTTGCAGATAGCATCTGGATCGCATTTACGAGGAAATTGTCGCAATATAGGTGAAAGAGAGTAGCGAAACATTCAGACTTTGTAGTACCATAGATTTCGATTTAATTTTAGCATGTATTTTAGTTGAAACCTCCCAAGGCCTGTGACCCGCGCCTGCACTCGTTCTTCACGTCTTCTGATCGAATAGGGGGTGATGAAGGTAATCATCGGCGACCCGCGCTGACACCGCTAGCAGTCGTGTGCGTGTTACTAATTAAAACCCCCATGTTCAGCGAAACATTCACCTCTCTTGTCTACGGCCCCCGTATTCGTCCATCGTCGTCAATCATCATCGTCATCATCATCATCGCGTCGTGCGTCGCGGTTCGTCGTCGCGCGTCGTCGTCGTCGCATCATCATTTTCACCAACACGCACTGCTAGATCGTTAAAGTCAAACCCAGCACGTCCCGATCCGCGG